ATGTTGATGCCTATATGCTTTGGAACTTGCATACACATTTTATTTATTTATTTTTTATTTTTTTTTGCATCTTAGCACGTATGGATATGTTGATGCCTATATGCTTTGGAACTTGCATACACATTTTTATCTCTTCACTTATACTGATAGTGACTGGACATTTTAGAGGATACCAAACAGATTAGACGATTTAAAAATATGTAGACCTAAAAAGTATGAAAAAATTTGCACTGCAGTCCAAGCTGATGCAATACAATTACTTGCATTCAACATTTATTGGAACCACTCAATCCAATTTATCAGACAGCTCCTCTATTCACACAGCCTTTGTGCAACCTCAAAGGCCTGGTTCAGCATCTTCCTACTGCACTGACTCACCCCAGGACTGACTAAAGCTGACACAATTGCTGTAATTACCTAAGAGCTTATGTTTGGAGTGGCAATGTATCTGTATTAGACAACGGTTTCTTCTATAAAAGCCATATCAGGCTAGCAACAGAGCACAAGTCCACACAGGGTCTAGATAATGACTCAGGGATACACATGCAGACTACAGCCTTGCCTGGCCCATCCCCTCTCCACTTCTCCCCCTGGTGTTGAACTGCCACTTGCTGTAATGATGATAAATACTTCAGTGCATGAAAGTGCCGTGGGACCAGAGTTCGACTGTCACCTCTGTGCTTGCACTACAATAGATCAATACTGGAGCTTGTGCATTATGATCTATATTTAGAGAAGCAAGATGTCTTTCATTTCCAGTAGTTGAATTTTAATACACTTGGAGATTGCTTATCATGGCCAAGGAGTCAGCCCTATCTCGTAAGAGTTAAAAGGAGGGTGTGTTGAATTTTGAGTTCAAATTTCATACAAGACCTATCTGAGTCGCCAGATAACATGTTCAAATCAAATATAGTTTTTACTGATAATAACTGTAAAGCTGATTTATTCTTAATTACAAAAACATTGCACCAAGTTGTTGTTAGCCTTTGGTGTTTTGGTTCTTAAAACGTTTATCCAATCAGAAAGCAGAATGATTCTCACACGATTCTCTTTTTTGGGTTTCCAGTTCATACAAATAAAACCAACTGGATATAGAGCTTTTCACAGACAAATGTCACAAAGACAGATCATTATTCTGACTGTCAGAAGCATGGCTGCCAGTCTGCTCCATCGGCCCATCGACCACTTTCATACTAGGCAAAGTGGGTGAAGTGCCTTGCCTAAGGACACAACAACAGTGTTTTGTGACTGGTGCCCCCCCGTGGCAACTGATTTTCCCAGTGATCTCCCATCCAAGTATTAACCAGGCCTGGCCCTGCTGAGCTTCTGAGATCTCACGGGGTCAGGCTTTGACAAGCTGTATGTATGTATGTATGTATGTATGTATGTATGTATGTATGTATGTATGTATCTCTCTATCTATCTGTCTATGTATCTATCTATCTATGACTGAGTACCTAAACCAGCATCCTCAGCCAATCACTAATAAATGGTATTGCAGCCTCTGCAGCTCAGTGACTGTATTCTGGAGGTTCTGAGCTTTCACACGAAGCATGTCCTGTCCATATACTGAGAGGGACAAAACTCATATTTGCTCTCATTATGCAGGTAAAGGCACAATACGGGTTCAGTTGTAGATTTTTTTGTGGAGTGGTTGTTAATTCCTTGACTCTATCAGTGGCATAACACCACCATTCTTTCATACCACAACATATAAGAGTTTTCTTGTCTCTTCACTGACCCTGAGCTTCATATCTTGTGGCGATGGAAAAAAGAGAAACAAGAAACAGTGTGAAAAAATGTTAGTGTTATAGCTGGGGTCGGTGGCTTACATTTGAGTCAAATGTTTCCCTTTATGATACAAAATTGTGTGTGAAAGAACATGGTGTCAGAATCCTCTTTGCAGGCTTTTCTATTTTTACTCATCCCATTTGGATGTCTATTCTCCAGCCACTCCCTAATAGTTAGTGAGAAAATGAGTGTCCCTTTCTGGAGCAGTGTGTGTTGGCTCCAGGGAGCATGATTACAGTGACACAAAGGCTTCTCTGTGTCACTTGGCTGTGTTGCACCCATCTGCTTTGGAGGGCCACAGCCATGGCCCCTCCTCACCTTATCTTATTTTAAAAGAACCCCGAGGTTGTGACTAAATTACAGCAGGGAATTTACATTGTCACTGTGGCACAATGCTCTTTGAATGTTATAGGGTATCTTAGTTTGCAGAATGCCATCCCATAATTAATGCTATAATTACACAGCCACAATGTCTTACTCAGCTTTTTCAAAGGACTTGGACTTTTTCCAGTTTTTCTTTTCTCTCACAGGTACTCCAGCGCAACCACCTCTTCTAAAACTGGCCCCATTCTGTCTTGGAGCATGCAGTCCCCATATTGGGTAAAGAATGTATCAGGCCACCAAAGTGATAAATGTAATTCTAATGTGAAGATGAGTCTTTAGTGCTGCTGAGTGTCCTCATTTAGCACAAGCTTCCTAACATCCCCCCACAGTGCTAACCTAATTATTAGATTATTAGAAGGGACTATTTCACTTTTTAGCCAGCGTGTTGCCCAATAGAAAGCAAAAATCTGACTTTTTTCTATGCCAATTTAATTATCTGAAATAAAAGGACAAATTACTCATTGGACAGTTTTTCAAATTGGTTTTGATGGTAATTGACTCCTTTGTAGGGGTCTGATAGATTAATATATAAATAGCAGTAGTAGTCATCAGTGGTGGAACATAATAAAATAAAATTAGTAAAGTATTTCAGTATACATTTAAGTGTCTACTTTTCTTAAGTATAATTAAAGTGGATACTTTTTACTTTACAACATTAGAGGAATGGTATCTGTACTTTCTGCTCTTGCTATTTTTTTTTTAAACTGGACTGAAAAGTAAAAGTTTTTTTTGTTTTTTTTTTACTATTGTCTGAGATCTGCAAAAAGGGCTGATAGGGTTATTTTTTAACACATTTGTATTCTGAGCAAACAAAAATATATATTTTATATATGTAATATAAAATAATATACAATAATTGAGTACTTTAATACTTTTATTTAAGTCAGTTTTTTCATGGGATATTTTTACTTGAATATTTTTTTGCTCTGGTATCTGTACTTAGTCACAAAATTAAGTACTTCTTCCACCATTGGTAATAATGGTAATAGGGATTAATTTGTAGAAAATATTGTGTGATCATGATTAGTAGTAAAGGTAGTGTTATACTGACCAAATAGTTTGAGTGATTCCCATGTAGAACAAGAAACTATGTGAAAATGACAACATACAGTTTATTATCACACCAATTCATAAAAAGCTCCCCTGCTCTTATATTACCTCCTTGGGGTGCTGTCTATGCGACCCAGAGACAATTCATATCACAAATTAATTACACTTTGGTCAAGAGTCGGCTTGGGAGGTCTTATAGTGTTTATGAGAATCAAGGTTTTAGGTGGAGCTGGTGGATATTTCCCAGTGGTGACTATGTCCTGATCCACTACAGTAATTTATAGTATTTGTAAGAACAGCAACTAATCTTTGTTATCTCCTGTGATAGGATAAATCTTTCCCCAAGGCCCAAGTCATTCTGTAACACTTATCACTATCGCACTGCAGGTTAAAAAAAAAGAGAGAAAAAAAGTGCTTTGTAGATTGATGATTCACATAGTCAGCTTTTGTGCACTTCAATGGAGTATTTACCGAGGCCTTGAGTGTGTACTGAACTCCACCCAATCAACTGGTACATTTGTATTTGGCCTGTCTGTTTCACTTGTGCTGCTACACTGTGTAAACATAGAGCAGCATGAAAGGCGGAGGGGCCCCTGCATGCCTGTGGGGACGTTTTGGGTTTTTGCTGGAAATCAAGTCATAATCTTTGAGCTAATCTGGGGCTTGCAGTGGAAACTCCCACACATGTAGAATTAACCTAAGTTTAGAGTACACCATGTTGGATCTGGTGTTTAAAGGAGTTACATAAAGTTAAATGGCGGATTAGAGAATAGACCGAACTATTCTTTGGGTGATATTAATGGATTAAAACGACAGGCTATAAATCACTGTATTAATTATTTAAACTTACAAAATGCTTTCATACATTACTTTGTGCAACATCTGCCATTGCACACCATGGACATAAACAGGAATGTAAGCTACTGGCTATAATGCTCTTGTTTTCTTTTAAATAATGTTCTTTTGTTGTTCCTTGATTGTCCTGAAGGTTTATCTATTTGCTCTGATACAATATCATCCTGAAAATAATCTAAATGAGTCAATTAAATGTAAATAGATGGACGTTTGTCTGCTGTGTTTTTTGAGTAAGATAGGTCTAATCTTGTCCATTTGTGCCCTGGACAGCAACTCAAGTTATACAGTGAGTTTCACAAGTGCTTCTCCAAAGCTATTATACACAGTCTGACAGTGGTTCTTACAGTGGTCTTCTTTTGAATCCAGATCCACCCAATGACCAAGTAATTTGAAAGGTTGCTCTAAGGGTCTGAGTAAATGTAGTACTCTCTAATGACAATAACCAACCTTGTGCTTATGGCCAGACGGCAACTCTAAGGGCCTAAACACGCGTTTATTTCAAAATCAGATGGTTTGCAGAATGTAGCATCTGGTGACCTCTTGTGGTGGACAATAATACATAATGCCAGTTGAGCCTTTTGAGTGCTCGAATGGTAAACTGAATACTGTAACTGAATTTTTCAATAACAAATGCCAGAGTGGTGCAGCAGTGGCTCTAGTGCAAACTAGCATTGTGTCCAAGACACTTCATCCACCTAGTATAAATGTGATGTATGAGTGATGCTTAGAGGGATCGATGGTGCATTTTACCGACTTCACTTCTGTCAGTTTTCTGTTAGTCTAATAAGTGCTAAATAAGTCTATTGAATTATTGTAAATATAATAAAGCTGATCAATGAGAATGTTGTTTCTGTCTTACTATTCTTTTTGTTTGGCAATGTGCAATTGTATTCAAATTTTATTGAAAATGAACAACGAGATCACTGTCAGTAAAAGTTTACTATATTCTCACAGACATAATGAACTACAATAAAACACAAGTACAAAATCATTCAAGCTTTTTTCTGATATGCAATATGTGGATTTCTGGACAGCTAAAATCTGGATCTTGTTGGTCTAAAGGTATTTCCTCACTGGAAAAGCTCTGTTTCAGCAACTGAAATACAAAAATATTGACAATATCGTGGTCACAAACACAACCTAAAACATTTTTAAATGTCGGCCACACTTACCTCAAAAAATCTTTTCTCTATTTTGGGGTTTATGCCTTCAGTTCTTTGTTCATAACAACAAATAATACAGGTTTCTGGACCAGCGAGCAGCTTCAGTGTTTCCACCAAAGGAACAACAGACTGCAAGAAAAACAAATTAAGCTATTAGTACTTTCATGGGACAGAAGAATGAGATTCAATTTCAGAAAATAAAAATACAACACAATTAGTGTGGGCATCTTACTCATGTAAGATGCCTCACCTGAATTGGCATTACCTGTTCATAATAGATGCAGTCTGCCATGAGGATATAATGTGGATGAGGCATGAAGTCAGAGACATCTTCACCCCTGCAATTATAAAACAAGAAAAATAAAAATACAATTTTGAACATTTAATTGTTAGTGGAATCACCTTCTATTTGATAAAATATTAGATTGGAGGAGTAGATATTTACAAACCATTTTAGTACCTTTGCGGTTATGGAGCCCTTGTTGACAAGATCCAGATTTTCTTGAATATTTAAATTCAGAAGAGTCACCAGTTCTTCCAAATCGCTCACAAAAACATGAGCCCTGGACAAAAACACCAAACTTTTAATAATCTATAAGCTATACAACATGAAATGAATGAAGTATGAAGGCAATTGCTTTAACAGTAACAGAAACTATAATATTTTCACTTTACCCCAGTGTAGCAGCCATCAGCCCAACAGCTCCTGTTCCAGCTCCTAACTCCACCACCGTCTTTCCTGCCCATGCATTCATTTCTTTGGCTGAATCAATAAATTGTTTCGTCTCTAAATACTTTGCTAGAACGATCGCTGCATCCCAAACTACACAACCGACGTCTCCCATATAACACTGGTTGAGTTTCAAACAAGAACCATCATTTTTTTCAAGTTTTCTGATAAAATAATTCTTCGGACTCTCGTGTTCCGCCATGATAATTACAACCGGAAACACAAAAGGAATATCCGGTTGGCTAAAAAAATAAAGCGTAATTATGAATTATTATTTATTAATTACTTATCAACTAACTCGGCCAGGTAATACGTAAAATAGTTTTCCTTTTTTAAATAAATGTCTTTTAAGGATTTTTTTTTTTGTTTTTTACTTTTTTTTCTAACGGTTTACTTCATTTTATTTATTTTTTAACAATCAACAATCAAGAAACGCTTAATCGTAATAATATGGCTACACTAAATACGTATAAATTGGTATATTATAAAAACAAAAATAATAATAAACTTAAAATATGTCAGTTCGCGCCTTCACTTATCTCACGCGCTACATTTGAGCAACAGGTAAGCTAGGAAGGAAGCTCATTTATAAACAAGTCATTATTTACGAGAAAGATAGGGTAAAATACTGCAGCCTGGTAGTAAGTAAGTAGAAGGTAACAAGTTTGTAAAGATGTTTCACAGCAGCACAGACGAGGTGACACCTGGTGGTGATTCTCCAGAATGCGTGAGGACTTCTAATAGTTTTGCTGACAGGAGTGGACTGAACACTTCAACTTCTTATGGTCCACCTTCAGTTTCTTCAGATTCTTTTCGCCTGAGTGTAGGTGATGCCAGTTCCAGTTCCAGCTCCAGCCATAGCTCTTCATTTCCAAGAGTACGCACAGCAGGTGAACAGCAGCTGGTTTTATTATTTTCAGTGTGTTTTCTATTGTTTTTGTGATAGGATGTGATTGTTATGTCATATCAGGTCATCTCCTAGACAGCCTCAGGTCACGTGTTGCAAATCCACCCCACCTCGCCACAGACAGCACCTCTACTCAGAGTCGTGGGGGTACTCCAAGACTGAGGACCCCCAGATCTGCACATGCTGCCAGAACACCACTGACTGACCATACTGGTACTGTTAGGAGTCACTCGATATGACGAAAAAATCTATCACGGTTTATGTCTGTATGTTGTTTGATCAAAATTTTCAGTTTGATTGTACTTTATTTTCTCAAATTAAAATAGCTTTCAATAATAAATTCCTTTTAATAGTATATTTTTACTCAAAAAATGGTCAGTCGGTGGTTGACCTATTAATTAAAAAGACCCACTGACTATTAGGGCAGGGTATCAGTAAGAAGTTGCCGATATGATACATACCTCAATACGTAGGCCACGATACGATGCATATCTCAATACAGTGCACTTTCGATTTGATACAGTATATATTGCAAATCGATTCAATACAGTTCAATAAAAAATAATGTCTAAATCATGGCTGTGTTTCTAAAAGTGTTAAACCACTTTTTGTGGGAAGTGAATATGAAACACATCCATTTTAATCATCAAAACAGTAAAAATGTCAAATGTGTTGCTAAACGAGTTTCCTTCCTCTAAACAAGCAACAAAACTGTAGCACTGTAACAAAATAATTTTGTAAAATATACCAAAAAATACTCTTGGCGGCATATACATAGATACAGATACAGCAGCCCACGATATTGATACCGTATCATCACATTAAATGATACGATATATCGATATTTTGATATTTTTGCACACCCCTACTGACTATTAGAAATGAGTGAATCTCCCAGCACTCCTGTTAAGCACATAAAATAACATGCTTTTCTACTTATTTATTTTTTTAAACATCTTTTTGCAGCAACAAGTTGTTCCTCCACAACATCAGCAACTGGAGCATCTGTAATTGTGGCTGTGGTTGAGGGGCGGGGTTTGGCTAGAGGGGAAATCGGCATGGCAAGTCTCAACCTAAAATGTCCCGAGCTCATTTTATCTCAGTTTGCAGACACGGGTACTTATGCCAAGGTAAACTATTTAGAATAGTGTGCAGACCTCTTACTCAAAACATTACGTTTAACTTATCATTGTATGCTTTTTGTTTCAAGGTTATTACCAGTATTCATATTCTTGTGCCACTTGAAATACTGATGCCAGACACAGCCAGTGAAAAGGGAAAAGGGACGAAGCTTTTCAATCTGATTACTGAGAATTTTTCGGTAACAATAAAATCTAACAGGCAGAACGGTTCAAAATTGCTCTTTGTAACTTGTCTGTCATCTGCTTGTCTACATGGAGATGTTATTGCTTTACCTTAAATGTTCATTTGTATGGCATTAATCTTATCAATATTGCATTTATCTAATTGCATGTGTTTTAACTTTAAAAACATGCATTCTTACTCTGAGCAGGACGCCTCTCCACAGATCGGCCCTGTAACTTGGCCCATTGCATCTCTCTATGTGCCATACTGGGGAATCCTCCTAGTAAAGCAATAACATCGTCATGAGGACAAGCTGGTAGCATACCCTCCACCATAAAGTTATAATTAAGTGCACTTATAAATGTTTTCTCTTGTTAGAGAGTGGCCTTTACTGCTGTTCAGAGAAGATATTTTAATGAACGAAAAGGCTTGGAGTACATTCAACAACTGTGCGCTCTAGAATACAGCACTGTCCTCATGGAAGTACAATCTAAGTACGATGCCCCACAGAAATTAAGAATATTTATCAGAATATGACAAGAGTAAACTAGCTGTTCCCTCTGCCTTGATGTCAGGTACTACTGTCTGGCTGCAGCTGCTGCTCTGCTCAAGTACTTGGAGTTCATTCAGAATTCTGTGTACGCCCCAAAGTCCCTCAAAGTCAGCTTTAAGGGGAGTGAGCGGACCGCAATGATCGACTCAGCATCTGCCTCCAATTTAGAGTTAGCCGTCAATAACCGAGACCACAGGTAACAGGGCTCATCATATCGTGATTGAACAAAATGCATACATCTAGTTTATCTTTCTACAGGAGTGAACATACACTATTTGGAGTTCTTAACCACACAAGAACATCTGGAGGGGCTAGAAGGCTACGGTCCAATATACTGGAGCCTTTAGCTGATGTTGACACTATAAACATTCGCTTGGACAGCATACAAGAAATGCTGCAAAATGAAGAACTCTTCTTTGGCTTAAAGAATGGTCTGAGCCAAAACATAACAATAATACTTAGGATATACTTCAGTAACAGTTTTGTATAAGTGTTCTCATATGCTTCTCACAGCAATAGGTCATTTCCTTGACATTGACCAGCTGCTTTCTGTTCTTGTTCAAATCCCCAAACAGGAAACTGTAAGTACTGTATTTTTTAAGTGCATTACTTGTAATGCCAT